TGCCTTAGTCAAGTTTGCTTTCCCGATACCAGTTACGTAATGTATATGGTTAGGGAGAAGCCGGGCTTACATTGGAATACACACGTTTTCTATAACCTATTGGCATCTGTGGCTATGTAGTGGAGTGCTAAAGTGTCATCAAGCTGCTAATGGCTTGGTTTCGAAAACCGTTGAATATACTCATTGGACTTAGGCAAGGTCGCAACTGTAGTCCGACAATGATAAAAAGACTTTTTGGAAGGCAAGGTTAAAGGAAATTAAATTACATTATACTGCCTACTCATATAACTGTGGAGGATATTTAACCATAAATCCTTCAATTACATTAGGCATACTGATGAAACTATGTTTCTAATCAGTAATATTTAATGAGATGCATCAAACTCACCTAAACTGGCAGTACGAGTAAGCACGTTGTGTACCTTCTCGAAGAATTCGATAAAGCTGAAGCGATGGGTACTTATAGATGCAGATGTATGGAAAATTTCCTTTCTCTGCTACTGCAATAAGTCCAAGCATCTGATGCACTGCGTATGCACCGATGCCCTCTCCACTAATCGAGCGGATGAAGGTCTGAGAACCAGAGTCCAAAACGATTATCTGCACATAGTTGCCGGCTATAAAGCATATTGTATTATGAGCCAAAATTCGTATGTTATCACGTCTCTTAGCATCATAGCCAAATGAGTGGTAAAGTGAAAGCATATTCTCAGGCAGAAACGAGTTTGCTTGAATGAATGGCTTCGAGACCATTTTATCTAATTTGTATCCTTCTTCTGAAGGCAACTCCAATTGAGTCAGCTTCGGTGTTATTCGATGAACCCGTCCAGTTTTGGCCAATTCCTCTTCGACATTAAGTACTTGGACACTCTCCTCTTCTTCAGCCTCCTGAGCCTGCCCTCGCTTGCTCTTATTTTTTGCAGATTTTGATTGCTTTTCACGTTTGTCCTCAGTTTTATCCTTTCTAATCTTAAGTGTCCTATCTTCAGCCTCATGAATATCTTCTTTCTTGTCCTTACGCTCCTCAGGATCGGCCTCATTATTAACATTGTATGTATCCTGGTGGGATGGTTCCACTTCGGAAGTACTTAATACAGTGATGTGTTGATCTTCATCACCCGTTTTTAAGAAAGGTTTTTCTTCAGACATTTATGGTTATTTCACATCTATAAATAAAAAAAAGATAATTTAATTATTTATAAATTAAAAGAATTCTACGTGATAAAATTCTAGCATAGATTAAAGAGATATAAATACTCTTCTCAAGCATTATCTTCTTAATCTCCTATATAAGGCTGTAGGGCCTAGAGTTAAGATGAATGGGGCTAAATTAGAAACAATCTAAGAAGGATTTTGACATGCACAATCAAGGTTGAAGAAACGTTTGGAATAATTTATCTATTCTTATTGATAAAAACTGTCAAGCAATCATATCTAAGAGATTAAAACTCGTTGCACAATCTTGGCAATATTTGACCGCATTCTTAAAGTTAGGTTTGGTAAAAAAAGGTTATATAAAAATAAAATATTTAGTTAATAGAGTTTTCTTCTGAGAACTAACTAGTCTCTAAGTAGATGATTACAAAATATATGTCAAAAATTTTATTAACCAAACTATTTGATCAAATCCTAATCTGATATAAGACGTTGCACAAGTAAATCATCCAAGTATATCTT